CTCCAGCTTTGGCCATGGGTCATTCACTATCCCTTTTGCCTCTTGCTGTTGGCAAGGGTAATTTGGGGTCCCCAGAACCCTGGCTTCACTATGACAGCAGCAGACTCAAGTATCATCTTTGGAATTCACTGCTAGCCTGGTAATTCCACCATCTTAGTCATTGGGCGGAGCTTGGGAAGACCCTGACTATGATGCTTTTGTAGCTTGTAGAGCAGTAATGATCTAGGTCTATCTCTCTTTCTGCAGAGTAACAGATCTGGAATGTCCAGAGTTTATTAATGTATGTAATGCAAGGCCTCATATCCACAATGGCTCAACTTAAACTTGGGCTTTTTTGTATTTATAGTGATCTCCTAAATTTATAGTATGTTCTCCTATTTCCATCCTCATGACAGGTAGTGACAAAGGTCTGAAAATTCAGAGATATGTAGTACTGTGCCTCAGCGGAGAAAGGCTTCCCAAACAACTGGTGAACTCCTGTGTATTATACAGATCAGTGTAAAACAATTTCTGAACATACTTAACTATTTAGGTGTCACCCCTGCTTACAGACTAGGTTCATGAGAACAGCCATAGAGTTTTGAAGTCTGAGAAAAATGAAGTAAATATGAAAGTGTTATCAAGGACAGGGTAAAAATTTGTGAAGGACAAATTCCAGAAAGGGCTACCTGTTAAATTCTCATCAAAATATGCCAAAATTTTCACATTTGCATAGACAGTTTAAATATGGAAATTCTCTACAATGGACTTATCTAAGTGGTGTAAATGAGAAGCCCTAAATAGATATTTTGCAGTGATATTGATAGTTAGGCATGAAAGGTTTTCTGCTTAGGATGGATCAGAGGAGTGTGGAAAAGATGTGGAAGTGACTGACAGGATGCAGGCAGCAAATAGCAGGACATACAACAGAGAGGGTCTTCACTGAAAGTCAGGTAGTTCTTAGAGTAAGTGTGAAGTAAAGTTGGGTTCTGATTGCTTCATTGAGGTGATCAACACCAGCTCTGGCAACAATCAGTATTCCACATCCCTGTCAACCCATAATTTTTGTGTTCCATACTTGAGATCTAATTTGATTATCTCTAATTATGCCCCATTGTCATGAAGCTGAAATTTTCAATTTTTTTGTACCAAGGAACAAGCGCATGACCTATGCTTTCCAGGCAGGTGTTCATGACACTGAGCTAAATACGCAACTATGAAATGTTTTCTGTGTAGTATGGACGATATCCACATTGTTTCTGAGAAAGTGTTGAATATTGTTGGAATTTTTCTGTATTGTATCGCTATAATTTTTTTTAAAACTAACCAAAGTTGTGTTATGCAGTCTCTTTTTAAGTTTCACTTTATCTGTTCGGTGTCTCAATCAGGGTTTTCTATTTTAGACAGCTCTGTAACTTAGGAAAGCCCCAAATTCAAGGAAGAAATCCTTCACCAGCCCCCAAGATATATTTCTTATATTTGAATTGAAAGTGATCACTTGGTGACAGTGAGGTATAATTTATAGCTTGGGCCTGGTTTCATTTTATATACATATTTTTTAAAATACAGCTGTTTTCCACTAACTCTTGAGTTATTATGTATATACCATATTTGATGTTATTTTTGTTTTGTTCTATGAAACCAAATTCATGTTTCAAAATGCTGCTTAAGTATATTAAGAACAAAGTACTCATTGGCCTAAATGAGATTTGAACAGACATCATCTGTAGTCTATCAAAGTGATTACTGAGATTTTTTATTTAATTTTGAAATTGGTAAAATAGAACAAGGTAGCATAAGGTCAACTAAGATCACACAGTGAAATTGGTACACAACTTCACAACAGGTTACTGGGATAACAGTAATAGGTATCACAGTATATTTTGTTATCTTTGTCATAGTTGTTCTTTAATCACATATATCAAAATGAGATGAAATGCAGAACATTATAGAACTTATCAAAACAGAATATTGAATTGAGCAGTACCATTAATCAGAATAGAGAGAAACAATAATAAAAACATTTTCCTTCAAGGAGATAGTAGAAGGAAGTCCCCCTTATTTGCTATGGTCTACTTCCCAGGAGATGCTCAGATTTCTGGTTCCATTTGCTAATGTGGGGTGACAGGAGAAGAGCGGTAGGGAAGTGGGATGTTTGATTCTAGGTGGTGCATCAGTAGGTTCAGTGTTGCTTACTATGGAGACAGGCTGGTTGTTTGGTTTCACAGCGCCCTAAGTTCCAACATAGAACGGATCTTAGGAGCTGCTGCTGGTTATCCCCCTGGAAGGGCTGCAGTTTTCCAGACTGCCACCACTGACTAGGGAGGGGAGGTGCTTGCTTGGCTTCCAAAGCAATTGATGAGACATTTATCTGCCTCTGTGCTTTGTGGTTGCTGGACCTGCAGGCTTCTCACTGTGAGCTCTGCTTTAGAGAAAGAGCTCAGGGAATCTTGCCATGACTCAGCACAAGAATCAGTGCTCCTATTTGGCTGTTATATTAGCAGTGAGTTGCAATCTAGTATCAAATTTGCTGTCTTCAAAAATGTATATAGACACAAAATTAATGACCAAGACATGGATTTAAATTTGAACAAATCAGTCTTCATTCAGCTGTTTTGTTTGGCTTTATTTGTTGAGTTTAGTTTTGTTTTATTGAGACAAGCTTTCTCTATGTATATCAGCTGGGTTTGAACACCCTATAGAGCCTAGAATTGGCCTGACCTCACTGATGCCTTCCTGTCTTGCCTTTTGAGTGCTGGGATTATAGATATGCACCACCACACTTTGCTTTTGATTCAGATTTGTAGGAGAGAATTTAAGATATCCCAAACCTGGTGTCTCAACCTTCCTTTGAGAAATATATGTATGATCCTTTAGGAGGCGGTGATCTTTGAGGATGTGGTTGTGAACTTCAGCAATGAGGAGTGGAGTTTGCTGAGTCCATCCCAAAAGAACCTCTACAGAGATGTGATGGGTGAAATCTTTAGGAACATGGCTGCAATAGGTATGGATGAAATCTTTTTGGCACTCATGCTGTCAGAATATTGTTTGTTGCTCATTAGTGCTGTTTTGTTAAAAAGAATATGAAAATATTTTTAAAAATAGCTCAGACCTGGACACATTATATTATAAATCTAAACAAAATCTATTAATTTGTATGTATTACTCAACTGAGTCCTGATATTTCTATGTCTACAATTCAGGAGGACTTGGGGATATCCAGGAACCGGAAAAAGAATGCAAAATTTACTGGAGATACTTAAGGTAATTCACACTCACAAGGAGAGGAATGTTCTTGAGTAATTAGTGAGTCAGCAGAAAAATGACCACCAAAGAAATGAAGCACCATTCAATTTAATGTCAGTAATATTCTCCAAAGATGTATAAGCTAGTGTATATATGAGGGAATTAAATCAAGAAAATGTATGATATTGCATATAGATCTGTACGAAAGGCATACACTTTGAGTTATGACATTCTGCCTTCAGCTTTTCTGCCCATTTTTACATGTGAATACAACACATTCATTATCTAACAATTGCTAAGATTGCAATAGAATTTGAAATAAAATTGAGTGCTCATGTTTCCAAGCCATGCTCTAGACAATCCGCGATTCTGACTAATATTCTTAGTAGGCTGGTGGAATATTAGTGCACTCATTTTGAATATCAGTATGCAGTTGTCTCTAGAAATTGATCCCCTCATACTTGTCCTGGATATTCTTAAAATCTCAAAATCTGCATAAAATACTGATACATGCTTACTCATATACAAAGCAGATCAAGTTATAACAGATCAAGCCTTGAAGCTTATCTATCTATCACTGGATTTGTGGAGAAGGAAAATTTTAGTGGACTCTCTGTGATTTTACATTCTTGTAAGCCCAGCACACTAAGAATCAGATTTTGCAGAATGGCAATTTCAAGTTCAAACTTCACAGCTTAATGATCTATGAAAATCTCTTAAAATAGATTTTTAAAAAGCTATAGATTTATGCTAATATCTGTTGCTCATTCCCAGCCCAGAATGGAAAAAATGTGTTATATAATGTCAAAAAATAAATAATATAATGTCATTTGCCATAAGAATTAGATGGGTCTTTCACCCATCAATTCAGTGTAATAACTCAGCTATAAAACCTAAAAGGTCACTGGCTTTCTTTTAGATGAGAAACCAAAATACAAAATGTGGAAAGAAATGAAACAGAGTTGTTAGAGAAAAGTAAGACTGACCACATGGAGAAGGGAACTACAGGTTAAGGACAGAAGGGAGATTGTGATGGGGAAACATATGAGAATATGATCTGCCTATGATACACATATGTACCCATTCCCAAAGTGAAGCTAAAGATTCTGCATTTCAAAGTACCAACTTTTAAGATTTCCAAATGTGTACCAGTCTTTTGGGAATGGTTGTTTTCAACATATCTTACAAGGCCATTCTGTTACTTCTTGGCCAGAATTTCTTAGCAGGCATTAAAAACAGAACTTGATATTAATGCAGCCATTAAATGGAGACCAATTTCACAGTGAATTTTTCTTTTTTTAAATTTAATATAAGGAAAGATTAAATAAGACAAAATAAGTAGAAATAATACTGCTTTCAAAGTGAAAAAAACAGTAACAAATAGCAAGATGATGATTACAAATGCTGATCATAGAAATAGTTATGAAATACAAAAGTGAAACATATGAAGTGGGGATTCAAACAGTGAGACTGCAAACAGTTTTGTTCAACTCTCGAAAAAAGCTTAGTAATATGGTTATAAATCCTATATGTGATTTTTTCTTTCCAGAAATGACAAGCTAGGGAAATCTTATGGACATACATCTTGGAAGCAGTGTAAAGAAGTATTCCTTTATACTGCAGAAGGTAATGTGAATGTGAAAGAAACAGAAACACACCACGATGGTCAGATCCATGAAAAATATTGCAGTGGAGAGAAACCCTATGTATGTAAGCAATGTGGGAAAGCTTTTACCAGACCTGGACGTTGTAAGGACCATGAAAGAATTCACACTGGAGAGAAACCATATGTATGTAAGCAATGTGGGAAAGCTTTTAACACACGTGCAAATTGTAAGGTTCATGAAAGAATTCACACTGGAGAGAAGCCCTATGTATGTAAGCAATGTGGGAAAGCTTTTACCAGACGTGAATGTTGTAAGCAACATGAAAGAATTCACACTGGAGATAAACCCTATGTATGTAAGCAATGTGGGAAAGCTTTTAACATGCGTGCAAGTTATAAGGTTCATGAAAGAATTCACACTGGAGAGAAACCCTATGTATGTAAGCAATGTGGGAAAGCTTTTCACGCACAGGGAGATTGTAAGAATCATGAAAGAATTCACACTGGAGAGAAACCCTATGTATGTAAGCAATGTGGGAAAGCTTTTAAAACACGTGCAAATTGTAAGTTTCATGAAAGTATTCATACTGGAGAGAAACCCTATGTATGTAAGCAATGTGGGAAAGCTTTTACCAGACCTGGACGTTGTAAGGAACATGAAAGAATTCACACTGGAGAGAAACCATATGTATGTAAGCAATGTGGGAAAGCTTTTAGCACACAAGGATATTGTAAGAAACATGCAAGAATTCACACTGGAGAGAAACCATATGTGTGTAAGCAATGTGGAAAAGCTTTTAGCACACGGGGAGATTGTAAGAAACATGAAAGTTCACATTCAATATAAAACCAGTGTATATAGGCATCATGAGAATGGTTTCAGCACATGTTGCATAATGCATGAAAATCTTCACACTGGGCAGAAAACTTACATATGTAAGGAATGTGGGAAAGGTTTCAGCAGAAATGCTCATTGTCCAATACATTATAAAATTTACATGGTTGAGAAACCCTGTGTGTATGTGAAGAATGTGGGAAAGCTTTCACCACACATGGATTTTGTAAAATACATCTATGACTTCACACTGGTGAGAAAGCCTATGTATATAACAATGTGGCAAAGCTTTTACTGCATATAGTCATTGCAAAACACATGAAAGAATTCACACTGGGAAGAACCACTGGCTATGTAAGCAAGTGGAGACACTTTCAGCAGCCAGATTGTAAGGGAAATACATGAAAAATACTCACACAAGAGATAAATCCTATGTGTTATGGGAATACTCTCAGCATACTTGATCATTGTTACATATCTGAAAGAGCTCACTAGGCAGAGATGATATGTGGATTACCAATGTGAGAAATATAGCAATCCATGTTTCTTGTTAAATACATAGAAAAAGCATCACTGTTCAGACAGTTTAGATCTAAGTTTACTTTAAAAATCCCAAGGAGACCTGAAGAAATAATCGATACAGAAGTTAGATGTCAATATTTCTTCACAAATATTCCAGAAATGACAAATCTGTGGTGCGGCTCTCCTTAGGTGCACATGTTGTATGGTTTTCAGTTAATCACTTGTACCTCTCTAGATTTATTAATCTAGATGTTTTTGTGCTTCAACATGGCATCTTGTAATTAAACATGCTTAACTGAAATGGACTTTTCACTTTTAAGTATGGATAGTGCCTGTGTACTTAATATTTTGTAGTTAAAACTTAAATTTTGTATTTTCTGGTGAATTGTAATGTTGTTTATTTAAAGAGAAAAAAAAGTGTAGAAATAATACAGATTTTCAGAAAACAATAAGAAATCACTAGTTGATTAGTATCATATTGTCATCTTAGAAATAGTTGTTCAAGTTACAAATTTAAAGCATACAAAGTGATATTCAAATAATGACACTGTCACGGTTCACCTCAACGATCCACCAAAAAGTTTTAATATGCCTATCTGTCCTACACACTTTTTTTTTCTTAAAGAGGGTAAGATTAAACATAGCAAAACAGAGCAAAACAGTTCATAAGGAAAAAAAGTTAAGGAAACACAGATATCAAAGCAAGTCCACTGGAAATGTTCACTGTCTTTCTTACTGTCTCTAGTTTTCTTCCAAATAGTTGTTCCCATCCTCACACACATTGAATATATACTGAATATTATAGAACTAATCAAATAATTACAGGATGATGCAAGCTTTTTCGATCTTCAAGACTGGTTTTGGGGAAGTCGATAATGACTACCATAATGTCTCTCATTGTCTTCGTAGTAGCTGTCTTTATCTTTATGTATGCTGAAATGGAACATAAGAGACTAGACTAATATCACTCTGAACAGTGAATAATAGTATCCTGAGAAGGAGAAAGGTGAGGAATTGCCTAAAAAAAGGAGGCAGAGAACATAGTTAAAAGTGTATCAGGATTTAAAAGCTACAGTAGTCTTGTTGCTTGGTTTAGTTTGGTTATATTTTGTTTTGGTCTGTCTACTCATAGACATCTCTTAATTCTTCCTTTCTGATTTGGTAAACTTTTGGGTTCTTATTGTTGACTAAATTCTAGGAGTAGGACTTGAAGTAGTGTGTTGAAAAGAGTCCAAAGCTTGGTCTTGTTCCTGACCTGAGAAGCAAATCTTGCAGCTTGTCAGTCTCTGAGCATGATGTCAGTGCTGGGCTTGTCATGTCTGTACTTTGCTGTGCTAAGATTTATTCCTCCTGCACATGGTGTGTGAATGGTTTTTATCATGAAAGGATGGTGAACTTTTGAATTTCTCTAAGTGATTTTTCCAAATCTCTTGAGGGGGTAGCTGTGCCTCATGCTGTGAATGTGGCAAGTGACACTGAATGATTTGTTCAAGTGGAACCATTCTAGCACCACTGAGCGTGAACTCAGTGTTCACTGTGGTATTTAAAATTTTCATGTGCTGGTGAATTTAGCTGATGTGCATTTGTTGAATATTTTCATGTATGTTCATTAAGAATATCGGCCATTAGAGCATTACCATTTTTTTAATGCAGTATGGTCTGGTTTCATTATCAAGGTGACTTTGTCATCTAAAAGGAATTGGTGGTGGTTCCCTCCCCTTGAAAGACATGAAAATAATTAGTATTTATTCTTTTTCAAAATTTTATTTTGAAGATAGTAAAATACAACAGAGCAAACAGAACAAAGAAAATTGAGACAATGCAGTGAAATTGGTACAGAACTTCACAGCAGGGTCCATGATAACAGTAATAGGTACCATAGTATATCTCATTATCTTCACAATTGGTTTCCATTCAATTAGTTATAGTGAAATCCAAACAAACACAGAACATTTTAAAACCTGTCAAAGATAATATTAAATAGAGCAAACAATCAGAACACAGCAAAAAATTAAAGATAACATTTGTTTTCCAAAACAAGATAGAAAGAAATCCCCCATATTTTCTATATTGCACACATTCATCTTCCCAAAAGATGCTCAGAATTCTGCCTCTCCTTGCTAACCAAGGGTGCATAAATGAGATGTATGGCTCTCAGTCCATGCACCAGTAGGCTCACTGGAGATGTTGACTGGTTCTCCTCCTGGCTTGCACCAGGGGTGCTGGCCAGGGAGGCAGGAGAATTGTTTTCTTGTTCAGCTGCCTAAGTCCCAACATGGCCAGATCCAGTATTTATGCTTAACTAAACACTTCAAACAATTCATCAGAATATTTATCATATCCTGGCATTTGTTGTTGTTATTAAGCAGTTATGATTGTTGACTCATTGCCTTTGTTTGTTAATGCTATGTCAAATTGTGTGTTTTCTTCTGAGGGTGTGGGTCAGGGACAATATAGGAGATCATGTACTGATCAAGGATCACGTCACATTTTACTTAGGGATGTAGCAATTTACTTTTGTATCTTCAAACTACCCCTACAGTATATATTTTTGTGAGTAATCTGTTAAGTTGTTTAGTTTTTTAAAGCACACTGTTGCAGGGTGCAGTTACTCCTGGAGGACACTGGGGCAAGGCTAGGTCCAGGTCTCTTATTTCAGGCTTTGTACCATTACCTGCCTGCAGTGTTCCCACCTCCTGACCTGCTGCCTAAAAACAAATGTCTTGCTCCACAGCTGTGGTGAATTCACATGTGGCAGTTGAGATCTCACCTGGGTGGAAGACATTCAGTTAAGGTAGGCTCTGAAACATGCTGATATTCTTGTACAGAGTTCCCCTTAGTGAGACATGGGGCCTCAGGACTGCAGGGAGGAGCTTGGATAGCAGGGCCACAACAGCCCTCTCTTTTTCAGCATTCAGTGTATGCTGTTTGCTGAGAAGCTGACTGGTGGATCAGGAGTCCTGGACCTGAGACTTTCTTGCCCATGGTACACTACTAGATACCATGGTGTCCTCCACATTGGTATGGTCCATCTTCCTCCTATTTGAATTTCCACAGAGATCTGAGGAGCCCTGGGCTTCCCCTTCCAGGCTCCAACTCTATGGTGAGTTTTAGTGTGAATTTTATGATCAGGAAATTTAATTTATATACATTTAACCTGGAAATTCCACTTCTACAGACTCATAAAATATGAGATTGAGAGATACCTGTGATCTCTTCTTATTCATTTATGAGGGTTGATAGTTAGAAACCATGAATGTACCATAGCAGAGTTGCTCAGTCAATTATACATTTATAGTCACAGAAAATGCTGAAAGAAGGCCATGTCCTAGGCCTTGTCCTGGATCCTACCTGAGATGATAGAAGAGTTCATAGCCTGGCCCTCTCTCCACTCAGCAATGAAGAGGCTTGAATAGCAGGTGAGGACAGAAGAGAGGAGCTCCTGGAGAGCAGAGCACTGAACCTGGGAGGAAGCCTTTTTGGTGTTTTTTTTTTTCCATTGTTCCATTCCATTGCATTATTTGTAGTGTTGTTTTCAATATTCATTTTATTCAAATAAGTTAGTATTTAATTGTGGCTAATTTCTTGAATACGTATGTGAATGTGGATGATTTAATTTCATTATATATACTGAAAGTTATGCACAATACAGACACTTCAAATATCACTGTAAATATAAAATAAGGAGGATTGGTATTCAGCAAGGCAACACATCGCTCATGACTAACTTCTAAAAATTCTAACACATAAAGCCATGAGGATCCTGCTGTGGTGGGTGTCCCTGCCCTTCCTACCATAAAAGCCACCATGCTGACCTGTACCTGCTACTGCCATAGGACAACAACAGATTTGCTTCAGTGTCTATTTTTCCAGCAAGGAAGTCCTAAATCTTCCTGCTTTCAGGCAGCACAGGGAGTGTGCAGCTTGCCCAGGAGCCTAGCACTGCCTGCCTTAAACCCTTTTCCCCCACCTCATCCATGCTGGAGCCTGCAGACAAGGGAAGGCAGATCAGACAGGATGCAGCAAAACCTCTGATTCCTCAGCCCCAGGGGACTCAATTCCTGGGTCCTGGTCCCAGCCTCCACCAGGATTCAGGTGCTATCCTGAATTCATCTGGATTAGTGGGCAGGGCACCCAATCTACACCTCTGGGGATCAAGACCACGAAGGCCACTGCCTTCAGTGACCCTTCTACTCTGCAAATTTTGCTCCTATCTTTGCGACTGAGGCAGTGGCATTGGAACAAAACACAATATTTTCATTACATTTCTCTTTGCTGTTATTTTTTCTGGCTTCTTTGTTTTTTAAAGCATATATTTAGAACTGCATTTTGCCAAAAAAACATTTCTTTGTCTTTTCACTTCCCAGATAACTGAAGTTTTTACAGATTTCTACTGTAGTTCAAAC